GTTAGATAAGATGAACTTTGTTCTATTTATTCTATTTACTTCCTTTTTGCAACATAAATTTTGGAATGCAGTAAGCTATCCAAACATTTTTACTTTTATAATGCAATTAACTTCAATAATTACAGTTTGTCCTTATTTTAAAAGAGAGACATCTAGAATTTATTATTGTGCAACAGGATTTATTTTCTAGTCAGAATACGTTTAAGAACAGAAACATTTTTAAAAGATTGCCTTTTGTTACTAATTTACTAATTTAATGTCAAAATCTTACAGCTAGCATTGGGCGGTAAATTCTATGCACAGTATTTTTAATTTTGATTGCATTTCTCTCAGAACTGTCACCATTGCATGTTTGAGTCAACATTTACTCTCTTCTTATAGTCCAAATACCACGTACAGCACGATCTAATCAAGACAGTGTTTTCTCATTTGTATGCTTTTTAACAGTGGACTATAAAATCCATAATTTTCATTCAAAAATTGGCAAATGCATAAACCTTGCTCAAATTTTTCTGTCAGTCATGTACCAATGGCAGCAGTGAACCACTCCTACTTCCAAGTACACTCTCCCTTTTAGTTTGCTATATAATAACATATAAAAGCAAAATAGGGCATTAAACTTGTCTCAGTTTGCAAGTCCACACAGCTTTCTTCATGTGAATAACCTGACTTTTAAAGAATTGCACTGGAGCATAAAATTGCACATAGGTGAAGCACATGATATATTCACATATAGTGTTACAATCAGATGTACCTTGAAAGTAGTGGGGTCAGAATGGACTAATGGAAGTATCCCATATTTACTATTACTGATCAGACAAACACTTATTTTTAAATGAGGAAGCAGACCTGGGACACCTGGGCTTGTTCTTGTAGTTAAGTGTGTGCCTAAATGTCTTTGTTTGGCTAGAGAAATCGTGGTTAATAAATAACATTTATGTTTACGAGTTACAACAGAAGAGCTTCTAAGTCTTACTAGCTACAGATTCTAACTGGGATCTTAATCTAAAATTATTTCTCTCCATTTTTTGTTTCTTCTCATAAGTAATAAATAATTCTGTTAATTGGAAGAGGCATAGACTATACCCTACATTATTCTTTTTCTGTCATGCCCTCCGTGACATCTGAGGTCTTTGGCAGACTCACAGAGACAGTCTGACTGAAATGTAATATACTGTTTGTTCAACGCCTGCTCACATTTCCTTGTCACTTTTACTAGCCGGAATACTCACTGAATTTAAACAAGTTTTCCCAACATTGAAAACTGGGAATTAATAACATTTTTTTAGTGGTCTAATACACTCACACACACATGCACAGGCCAGGAAAGCAATTCACACCGATCAACAATTTGTTGCCTATTACTGCATGTTTTTAAAAACTAAACTATGAGCGAAACCTAAGTCCGTCAGCCCATATTAGTAAGATTTTCCTTCCAGAAGAGGTACAAGAAAGTGGGGAAATTGCAGTGATGTGAGCACCATGTATTGGGATCTCATAGGGAAAACATCAGTAGATCCAATCATGACTAATTGTTTTCAAATGTTAAATGGTATTGGCAAAACACCAAAGGTGATAGCACTTTTTACTCTGCTAAGTGAAGTATTGTAAATGCTACTGGGCTGCTGAAGAGGGAGAAAGCAGAAGGAGGCATGGCATTTTAGTGGAAGGAAAAGTCACAAAGTAAATGAGCTATTCTTAAAAGCAATCTTTTAGAATAAGTACTGGAGAATACCAGTGTTGTTTTCTGTAAGTAAAAATCCCCACACAGTATATCACAACTTGCAAAAATATGTAGTTTCATGAACAACTAGCACTAATACTGAAGTGTTTTCTTTTACAGGAGTCTCGCAAATAATAATCTCCAGTCACTTCCAAAAGACATATTTAAAGGCTTGGATTCTTTAACAAATGTGTAAGAAAGCAATTAATTAATCTTTTAATTATACCACAAGTATAAAGAGATTACTTTAGAGGACATTCTAAGTAACCATTCAAACTAGTAGCCAGTAATGGATCTTATTACTGGGTAGAGACTACACAATATACGTAGGCTTGGTTTTTTTGTCTGCTGTTTCTGAGAACTTGTGATACTTTTGAATATTCCACCAGTTATGAAGATAAGTAATACTGTTAGTAGTTATATAATAAAGCTGCATGTTACTATTTTGTGAATAAGAAGGGAGGATGCTTAGGGATGCATGAGAGAGCAAGGCATGCAGGGAAGGTGGAAGATATTTAATGAAGTAACGTTTTAATGTGCAAGCAATTCCTGGGAAAGCTATCTTTTATCAATAGAGCATGTGTATAAGTAAGTATCCCATACTAAATCTAATTATAACCAGATCAAAACATCAGCTTGTTTAAATAGATGTCTGTGTATACATATATATATATATGTGTGTGTATATATAAAATACCAGTGAAAATACAAAATATAGATAAACAGATAAATCTTAAAACTTTTTTAGTGAAATAGATCCTGTTTGCAATATACCAAATCCAGTTCCATCTGATCTGGGATAATAAGCTCAGAAAATCCTTTGCCTGCTCCCAGTATGAACAAGGTAGGCTGAATCCCTTGAGCAGAGCTGCAGCAGTAAGATGTGGCCATGGCCAGTGTATCTGGAGCATTACTTGGCACGACTGATCATGGCCAGGTGGTTACACAGCCTGGTCCTGGCGCTTGCCTGTTCCTGTACATACGATCGGAAATCTGACTGAAGACAGCTGTAAAAGTCTTGAACAAAACTCCTTTTCTTGTGTCTCCTGAAGCCCTAAGTGAGTGTATCCAAAGGAAATAGTGAATACTGACTGGCTGACCATCAGGTTACATTGATTCTTATTTTGTTGTCTAGAATGCTCTTACTGAGAAAGGGTAATCCAAAGGAAACAGGGGTCATTAGTTTGGGAGGCTTTTGCATACCTGTAAAAATTTATTTTCCCTTATGGGGAAATCAATAAAAATTTCTGACTATTCACCAAGTTAAGGTCTCCTTGATTACCTTAATATAATTAAATCTGTGTGGGTTCTGGTATGCAGATTTAACTATGGGTCAGGGCTAATAATCCAGGAAGGCCTCAACTAAGAATAAGCAAGAGGGTACATATTTAACAAAAGCTTGTTTTGTTGTTCTCAAGGAAAAATAAATTTAACTGACTACTTATTTTCAATGCATGATTTATTTGTTGTAGAGATCTTAGAGGCAATGCATTTAACTGTGACTGCAAACTGAAGTGGTTAGTGGAGTGGCTGGGCAGCACCAATGCAACCGTTGAAGATATTTACTGTGAAAGCCCACCAGAATATAAGAAGCGCAAAATCAATAGCCTCTCTCCAAAAGAGTTTGATTGCATTATTACAGGTAATGTGCCCCAAATTATTTAATCTTTTTAAAGACAAAGCTATAGTTTTTCATTCTAGAGCCCATTTTTGCAGGAATGCTGCATTCTGGATGGAAATTCTACTAAAATCAGTATGAACTCCACTGGTTTAAGTCTGACATGGGAATCATTTGGGAACAGGGTCCTATATTTCAGTATCTACTCAAACTTTAATATGTTACATAATGATTTGGAAAACTGGGACATAAAACAGTACCTCTTTTTATTGAGAAAGATTGCAAAACAAATTGCAGTGCTCCTTTATCAACAGAAAAATTGAACTAGTGATGAAGTCACTAGTAAGTTGTAATAAATTGGTATCTGATAATCATACTTTTTTTTTCAGTACATGATGGAAAGTATCTCTGTGATTATCATCTGTTGTGTGCACTTTTGCAGAATTTGAAGTTTATCAGTCCCTGCCATACCAGTCTCTGTCAGTAGATACTTTCTCATACATGAATGATGAACACGTGGTTATTGCTCAGCCTTTTACTGGAAAATGCATCTTTCTTGAATGGGACCATGTGGAAGTGATGTTCAGGAATTACGACAACATTACAGGTATGAACACTGCTTGACAAATATCATTACAACAAATTATCCAAGAAGTGGTACTAACCCTGTCTTTTACTTTTCTTTTTATAGGTACTTCAACTGTTGTGTGTAAACCTATAGTTATTGAAAGTCAGCTGTATGTCATTGTCGCACAGCTGTTTGGAGGCTCCCACATATATAAAAGAGATATTTTTGCTAATAAGTTTATAAAAATTCAAGATATTGAAATCCTTAAAATCCGAAAACCCAATGACATTGAAACTTTCAGGATTGCTGAAGACTGGTATTTTGTTGTTGCAGACAGTTCAAAGGCTGGTTTCACCACGGTTTACAAGTGGAATGGGAATGGATTTTATTCCCATCAGTCTCTGCACGCCTGGTACAGAGATACTGATGTGGAGTATCTTGAAATATCTGGCAAACCACATTTAATTTTGTCAAGTAGTTCGCAAAGACCTGTAATATATCAATGGAACAAAGGAACGAATGAATTTGTTAAGCGGTTTGATATTCAAGATATGGAAGATGCATATGCAGTGAAGCATTTCAAAGTGAAAGAGGATGTATACATTTGCTTAACAAGATTTATTGGGGACTCTAAAGTAATGAAATGGGGTGGTTCAGCATTTCTGGATTTACAAAGGATGCCATCCCGAGGGTCAATGGTATTCCAACCACTTCAGATAAATAATTATCAATATGCCATTCTTGGAAGTGATTATTCTTTCACTCAAGTCTATTATTGGGATGCGGAAAAGGCAAAATTTGTGAAGTTTCAAGAATTAAACGTACAGGCACCAAGATCTTTCATACATGTCTCCATCGATAAACGAGATTTTCTCTTTGCTTCAAGTTTTAAGGGAACTACACTGATTTATAAACATGTCATAGTTGACTTAAGCGCATGACACTCATAATTCTGAGATTACATCAGACTTTCTACCGTAAGTGGACAAAATGAACTAAATGCATGATGACTCTCTTATCTTACTTCCAAATGAATGCCTTTAAAAGTTGAGATTGCTAGAACAAATTATTACTAGTATCTTCATCTTTAATTGTCAAGTCTAGTGGTGTTGGAAGTTGCATTTTTTAACAAAAAGAAATTAAATTAACTGTTCTTTGCATCCACAATATGTAAATACATGTGCAACTGCATCTGTTGCTATAAAGAATATTAAGATGTACTTTTCCATTTATTTATTCACCTGTTTGAAACAACTGCCAAATAAAATGTTTACATTTTGTGTCTTTCACATTTCAAATATTATTTGCAGGTGATACTTTTCATTTGTGTATATATTATACACATATAAAATAAAGCCAAGAAGGCATATTGCCCACTGCAGTGTTGTACTGCATAGAAGATGCACAATATTGAAGATCAGGTGGATTTTACTAATAACAAGAAGTTCTTGATAACAATACTGCATTAAAACACAAGCCTATAAGTTATCACCTGGACAATCCTTGCACTTATGTAAAGCTTCACTGACTTAAGCAGAACTCTAACCAGAAAAAAGAATTCAGTTATCTAGATGTGCTTGTAGGATTGAAGGGTTCAGTTTTACACATCTAATTGTGGGATAGGCCTTTGTACTGTGTATAGCTGGATGTGATTTTCTAAAAATTCACTAAGAACTTGGTAGAATGAAAGACAAGGTAAAGGTCTGTGTTTCTTCACCTGATGCTGAAACAGCATAAAACAAATCTCTTGTACAGCACTGGGGCTGTTACTGTGCTAAAAGCTAGGAGCAAAGCTTATTTTTCAGCTAGTGTTATTTCTATAGCTGAACTGTCACACATCACTTGCATGAATTCTGTGTCCTTGTCAAGTCTTTCCACTATAATTGCAATTATTTAGTCTTCAATGAATTTATTTCTTATTCTGAATGAAGCTAGCGCATGGGAAGTAACTTTTTTCCACTACCCTGCAATGAATCTACCAGGTACTTCTGAAATTCAGGGAACTTTGAATGTGGCAGGATAAAGTCAGTTTGTGTAGTGTATGCAACTCCAGGGAAGCTAACTATATCTGTTAAATTGTGCCAAATCTGAATGTGGCATAAAAATCTATTACAAGCTCAAAGTAAAAATAATCTTTTGTTTACATACATCTAGTGCACCACGTGAGAGAAACCTACACTGATGCTGAAGATGATTTAGTGCAGCTCAGGAAGAAAGCTCAAATTTATTTTAGGCACCTTTGCATTCACTTAAGTCATCAAGCATTATGCTTCACTGCCGTCTTTAAAATATAGACATGAATTCTGTGTTCATTTCTAGACATTTCTACCTTTCACAGATGTTGATGAGTGAATAAAACTAATCATACAGTGCATGTCAGCTGATCACATGAGCTGATTAATGTGTATTATGGAAGCCAGCCCTAAACAATATGCTTCTGTAATAAATAATGGAGATTTTTTTAATATTTAATGTTATTTGAAAAGAAAAATATATCACCTGAACAATACTACTCTAATAAGTTAATCTTTCTGATGCCTTTTTACCCATAGCTGCATATGCTCTGCAAAGCATTTGGCTTAATAACTACCTACTCCATAAGTATTTACAATGTGAGTAGAAAGATTTCAAACTATGTCTCACAGCTGAAACATCCCAATTTTTTTCTTAATAAATACATTTCCAAAAATCATCTTAATAAATAATCTCATTTGGCAGTTTCTTTTTTATGTCAAACCATATTTCTTTAATATAGTTTTACCTGCTAAATGAGCATGATTTCAAACCCCAGATGAACCCAAATAATATTTTTTATTATTTCTCAACATTGGCTGCACATCTGTGAGTGCCATCTCAGTTTGTCCATTTCTTCTTCAGTGCCCTTTGCATGACAAAGTCATGAACCCATCTCCAATCTACCAGCAAACCATTAAGTGTTTTCTATTTCTTCTTGTCTTCTGTTGTAGTCTTTTACTTAATGTCCTATTGAATTTGGTTTTGATCTGTTTTCTCCCATTATACTTGCCTACATGCACTCTCTATCAAATTATAAAGATAATGGCTGTGCATCCTTCTTGTTATGAACATATTATAAACATGTGACCGAATTTAAGTGGAGTTGGAGAAACTCGCTAATCTGCTACCAACATTTATTTACAAACATATTGTCTCACAGTGTACCTTGGGAAAGTTACATTTCATGGAAATGTATTTCAGAGCCAGCCAGCTATGCTGGGTAAGGCATATGCTATCTTAGTGCTATGATTGTTCTCTTGAGTTACCTCATTCTGAAATAATGTGACAGACTTATGGGAATTCACTCTTACTCCTGGGTTTAAAGGAGGAATTTAAATGCCTGCAAGGGTGTGAGTCACTAGAATTTTACTTTCACCATACATATAAAACTAGCCATGGTACAGTGGAGGTAGTAAGTTCTCAATGTGCTGGAGAATGCAACTGCAGTATCAGTTTGGTTGTTCCTTCAGAAAATTTTTTTCTGTGTCAAGTGATTGGGGAAGTTCTTAATGCCCATGTCATTCACCTAATTACTATAAAATGCTGAATCAAAACCTGCTCTCTTTTGAAAATCCCTTTTTCTGGTCCGTTTATGTCAGGTGGAGACTCACAGGGACAACAGCCAGTTCCTTATTGTGGGAGTATAGAGTTTCTTGGTACCACATAAGGAACTGGGGTATTTTTAGAACAGAACTCATAATCCTTAACGTAGAAGAGCGTAAAGCCTCATTAGGTGGCTCCCTGTGCTGTTTCTTCCTGATTTCAGACTGGGCATTTTAACAGCTCATCTGAGCATAAGGCTAAGGCCATATTCTATCCTGGGTCTCTGCTCAGTACTCTTGATATCAGTGGAAGAATCAGAAAAAAACTAGAATAGAACCTTTTATCATGTATACATTGATACTTTTTAAAAATGATGTTCTAAAAAACCTATTCCTTTCAACAAAGTCTGTTAATTGTGGCTGACTGGTTGTCTTCTGTAGTTATAATGGATTTTCTAAACTCCCTAATTGTTTTGTTTATGACTGACAGAATATGTAAGGTACTAAATGTATTATAAAAGACAGTATTGAAGGTTATTAATGGGTACTGCCGATCCTTGATGCTGCTTAGTCATGTTAATGTCTAAGATAAAAAGAGCACTAATGGAATAGTATTGTATTCCTACAACTACTTGATTATATTTTTAATAGAGCACAAATATAAAAGAATATTGCACCTCTCTACTTGGGAAGAGATATATAAAACACATTCAGAATACCTGATACTATACCATGTGTAACTATTTTTATTTTGTCTATTGCAATGCCCAGAACTTGCAGGTGTTTTGTTTCTACTTATTTTCCATTGAAAAAATGTTCCAAAAAGCACTCTTCCTAGGAAGAAAGAAATTCAATAAGGAAATATTTTGTTGTGTAAGGTAACAAAACAAACAGAAATGTATTATTGGTTTGAATTTCATTTTAATTATAACTTCTCCTAATGATTTTAATTTTTTTAACTTTATTTGAATGGGTTGTAACAGCCACTCAAAGTACGCTTGAGGATGGGAAACAATTATTAGCATAGTTAATAACGTGTGATATGCTTTGATATGTTCTAGTGGGAAGCTCACTAACAGCTGTATTTATGTATATAAGCACTAAAATATATTGTGTTAGCATTCAATGGATAATAAAGAATATTTAAACTATAGAAGTAACAAAAAGTCCTCAGACTGACAGTAGCACCAAGAGAAAGCAGAGAAGTCAGCATACCCAAAATGTTACAACTAGGAACAGAATACAAGCCCACAGCAAGTTTCAAGGGAGTGGAAGTTTTCTCTTTCAAGGAAGTATTTTCCTTTTCATGAAATATATAATGTGTTTCTCCTCAGTGGGGACCCCTGAAAATCCAGACAGTCACCTAGTTCTTGCAAAATGCAGTAAAAGGCTTACAAACTTAACACACTACATTCATGATCCTAATATGTGGATTTTTTTTCCTTTTGACACCTCTCTGCTACATGAGTCTCAGCTGTGGTGGCACAAAGGGAGTGGTCAGCATGCTGCTGCCCACCGAAAGGGCCAGGACCCTGCCAGAAGTTAAGCCAGGTTCAGCAGATGGAAAATGCAAACCCAAGCACTCAATTCACTCAGCTGTTAATGCCTCCCCCACTGCCTAGCAGGTTTGCTCTCTGATTTGTTTTACATATTGCCAACGGTTCCCACCACCTTTCATACGCCTGCAAGCCTCTCATTCTTGCTGATCTGAGACCTAAGCGTTGTATTAAAGCTGTGATTTAGACTCCTATTGATTAGAAGGCTGAATGTGTTTTTGTGGCTGGGAACTCACCGATAAATGTCGAGGTCTTGGGGAGTTCAATTCCTGCAGACCGATCTGCGGTACACTGCCTGACTTACTGCTAATGGCAACTTTTCTTCCTTACTGATGACTCTGAATTCTAATGGCTGGTGTTACAGGCATGTCTCTGTTTATAGTTCACTTAAACAAAGTGCTCAGAGGCAAACCTAACCCTATTTCTATTCAGGAATTTTCCTGAAGTGAACTGCAACTACAAAGACCTCCAGTGTGAGATACAGAAGTGGTGTTGTATTTGTGCTTTGAGACTTTGAATCGCTCCAATTAGTTATGGTAGTGTAATACTTCTGTCTTCAAATTTGTTACAGCAGAAAGCAATTTGCCCCTAAATATGCATATTTATATTCATAGAATTGTTTATTTATACTCCAAATAAACTGAAGTGGATGATGGCAATAATTATGGTACTGTTCCCAATCTCCCATTCATCAAATCAATGTCTGGATTCTCAAAAGTTGTTTTCAACTCAGCCTTACTTTATTCTTCCTACTGAATTATTTCAATTGAAAAAGGACTTTCTGACCCATTCTCACTTCCTGTTCGAAGGCCTGGATAGTGACAGCAGTATGTTAACAAGTTGTCAACCTGCCCAGATGGTGAGCATCCAAAAATGCTGAAAGAGGTTCAGAATAAACAGGCTGATCTGCTAACAATACATAGTCCTTCATTAGAAACCATTTATGTGCAAAAGAACTAGAAGTAACAAATATTATATCTATTTTTCTAAAAAGTTAATGGAATAACCAGTGGGATTTCAGACCAGAAAGATCCACATTTATCTGAAATTATAAATGAAAATGGAAGTGTAAAATTTCAGAAGAAATTAGGTAACTAAGCAAGTGGGACAGGCTGACTAGTGAAGTTGAGGGTCCAGAAATGCAAAATACTATACATAAGAAAAAAATGCTCACAAAGTTTAACATTAGCAGTAAAGAAAGTCAACTTGACATCGTTGTGAACTACTCAGAAAGATACTCATCTCAATATGCAGCAACAGGAAAGAACAAACAATGCTACCACATGTGCAGGATAATAGGGAGAATACAACACTGTATGTTAGGGCAAATCACTGCTGTTGCCTTATTTGAGATACTGCATGCAGTACTAATGTAGCCATCTCAAAAAACTCTGCGGGGTAATTAAGGACTCAGAGAGATGTGGAAAAATTCATTGAAGGTGTGGAATAAGATGGCACCTGACACTATCAAACCCCAAGCCATAAACCAAAATATCTTCCCCCACAAATTAAACTGTGGCATTCACTGTCATAGGCAGTGACATAGGGAACAAAAATACAGTATTCAGAAAGTCAAACACGGATAAATTACATAAAAATTTTAATTCTATTTCTTTAGTACTGAACAAAATTGCTCTTTCTAAGGCAACATGAGAGTCTTTGCGCTTCTGTCAGAAACATCTGGCTGCAACCATTTTGGATGAAAAGCCCAGCAGCTGGATAATGAATGTGCTCCAGTGTTGCATTTCCTATTTTCAGTTCTTGAGGCACAGTGCTCAGAAATTAGTTCAACTTTGTTGCTGAGGTCCACAAAACAACATAAATAAGATGTGCATTTGACACAGCCATTCAGAAGCATTTACAATACTGAGAATGTGAACGTTGAAGAAAATCTGTAAAATACCAGCAATGTAATTCCTTGAAATTATGTCAACAATTTAAAAATTTTGGCAAACAATTTACAAGCACTTGAGAATGTAATTGCACAACTTCGGCTGGCTTCAGCTATGTAACTCATGACAGAAGTAGATTCCCATGGGAAGAACAGAACTCAGCGTTTTATAAGCTTATTATTAAGATTTGAATATTAGAGCTGTAGGAATATTAGTAGTAAAGTACCTTATGATTAAGCAGGTTGTTATTATTGTTCTGTGAGGGAGTAATTTCTAAACCACAGGAACAGATCAACAATTCTGGAAAAACAAACAAACAAACAAACAAATAAACAATCCCTATTATCACAATTTCCAAATAACTGTGGAATTTGAAACCCTTATCCTGCTCCCTTTTGTCCTCCATATACAAAAACAGAAAGATACTATCCATTCAGGAAAAGCACTGTACCTATGTTGCTCCAAAGGAGCAAAACAAATGAAGATACAAGGAAGAAAAAGGATAAATCTGGAACAGAAAATTTAACTGCATGTGTGAATATCTAAACTTTCTGATATAGAGATTATTACTAAAAACAGAACATCCTTTTAATGTTTACACTTTAAGGCTTTAGTTACCTGGATTATAAATTGCAAACTCAAATAAAAATCCACTGCTTCTAAATAATTCATATGTGCTAACATAAGTCCAGTCTTCAATACTAGCTTTAACTTTTCCTTAGCATTATTTAAGATAACAATGAGTCCTTCAAACTAAACTCACTTTAAGGCTGAGACCAAGAAAAAAATATCTGCTACAGCAGCTGTTAGAAAAACTCTGCCTTTTTATACAGGCTTCTGGAGTACATCAAACTGCAAAAACACAATGATAATCATATTTTTTTAGCTTGAACCGAACTGGAAATGAATGTTTGTTCCAAAATTACAACTCATTTCAGAATTTCTGTAAAATCATTTTGAGAGCAATGATACTATCAGAGGATCTAAGAGTAAGAAAAAATTAAGCTAATTTCAACTGTTTATCAAAAAATCCTGTGGGTTTGGATGTGACTTCATCTAAAAGTTGTATAAATCCAATAAAGTACAATTGCAAAATAATCAGTTAAAGAAATTTTATGAACTGCAAAGTGTACCTGGAAAAACTATTACAAATAAATTATGCCAGAGCAATATCACTCTATACATACAGAGCTCCCCTGAAGCAGTAAATTGCAAAGGTCCTTCCTTCTCTGAGAATACCTTAAAGCCCCCCTTGTTCCTGCACATGGAGCAGGGAGCCCAGAAGCTGCCCTTGGAAGAAGGGAACGAGCTCTGATCATGCCTGAACAGAAATGATTTCCTTGAAGTACAGCCACAGACCAGAGACATTCCTCCCAGTGACAAGGACAACTCAGCAAGGTCTTGAGGGCACCAGCTTGTGCATGTCAAAACATTCCCAGTTTTACTGGTATTTCAGAGGTAGTAATCAGCTTGTGTGTGTCATCAAACCCGAGCTCACTTAGTGTCCACTTGCTGGGGAGCCAGGAACAGATTGCAGAGGTCAGCACACGCCGCAAAAGCTTGGTCAGCCCATTCCTAGGGGGCTGCCACTCTGGCACTGTTCACAGGATCTGATCTAGCTGAGGTTACAAGGACATAAAAATAACCACTTGGAGTTAGCCCTGGGTTCCTGTGCTCCCATGCTCTGCCTACTTGGCCAGAAGTGATGCTTATTAGAAAACCCAACAGCACGGGAATTACAGCGCTATGATTTCCCAGTACACCCTCTCAGCCTCCAGCAAGAAAGGAAAAGAAACCCTGCTTCTTGCCTTAAGGAGGTGTTCTTGTGGACAGCAAAACGCCTAGAATAGGTACATCCCTCATGCAAGGCAGCAGCAGGGTTTTTTGCTCTAATGAGGAATGCTTTTCTGCATTGCGGCTCCTGGAGGTAATGAAGGAGCACTGACTCAATTAAAAAATAATGAAAAAAAGAAAGACCCCACTTATGTTTCTGACTCTGACAAAGGCAAAGGGCTTTAAAATCTGTGTTGCAAGGTTTCTTTCCTTAACAAAAGCTGGAGCTGCGTTTCAGATCACTCCCCTTTGAACATACTAGTACAAGCAAACTGAGAGGAGTGAGCATTGCACCAGCTTGTTGGAATAAGGTGAGAGGTGCACAGGCTGAATCATGTTGGTGTTTCATATGTTTATCATGTGCCTATATATAAATACCAAACACAAATATGCTTGATATAACAATGTAACAATAGAATAAATCATTCATACATAAAAAAATATATAAATGTATTATAGAGTCCCAATACACTAATACTGACCCATCACCTGTCACAAGGTTATTTACATTTTACATAATTTTTGTTCTGAGGAAAAGTGGAAGCTAATGAAGGATAATCTCCTTCAAGTAAGGAATATAAACAATTCCTTAATAATTCATGGGAGTGGCAAGTAAGGAAACTTCCCCCTTCTTGCCCTGCAGAGCAGCCCCAGGCAGATAGCTTGCAGAATAGGAAACATACTGTGTGAGTGCCAAGAAATGCAGCTGATTGAAATAGTTCTCTCCTATTCCACAAAGAGAAACTACACATTCAGCCATTATTACTGCTGTAAAAAGTCAGTTAAAGTGACAGTGACAAAATATAATTGAACAAATTATCTTCTTTCCACAGTCACAAAGGGCATTATAGAACAGAACAAACTAAGACAAGCAAAAATGCTAACTATGAGCTATTTCCACTTTCCTCCACTCCTCCTTTGGAGCTCTGACCCTCAATGGCACTCAAGCTGTACTTCTGTTTTCTGATTTTTGTACTGTACTGCCTGCCAAAAAAGAAATCTCTGGAAAGTCACCACCACAAACTTTCAAGTTACATAATATTTTATTTCTCTTTTCTTTTTTTTTTCTCCATGGTGCTGCATGCTATGACAAAGAAAGCAATACTCCCTCTTGTCTGCTACTCATTCTCTGAGTAACTTAGAAGGAGTATGTATTTAATAATTACATCATTTCTATTCAAGCAGGTTGCAGAATGGTAACTGATAACCTTCTGCCTACTCCTTTTTCTTCTATCTGTGTTTCAAAGAATATCTGCCCTTCCCTCTTTCAAACCCTTTGGCTTTAGTAGCTGTGTTGAACCAGCTTTTATAGTAATTTCAGTTACACATAGTGGCAACTAAATAACAGGAAAAATGATTTCCAGATTTCCAAGAACCTCTCCCAAGGGAAAGTTAGAAAAAACCAAGAAAAGTTAGTAAAATTCCCAAACATGTTTTTTTTTGAAAGATACAGAAATTTGGACAGATTTGGGAAATAATTTTAAATGAAAAATATGTTTGGGAATTATATTGTTGAAATACCAAATTTAGATATTTCAGAATAAGGCACTTTATTTTGGAAATATCTAAATTTAAGCAATTACCAGGAGGAGATGCTCACCAGGAGAAGCACCTACCCCAGGCAGTGCATACCTAAATTCTAGCATGCTCATTTCTTCTTTTTCATAATCACATGCCATCAATTTTTGATTTTTTTTTCTGGATTCATTTTAAAGATTCTTCTATTTTCCTTCTTTTTTTTTCCACTGTGCATCTCTGTACACATTGACTGATCTTAATCTTAATGGGTAACAACATATCCAAAGGGAACAGAGCTTTACTCAGTTTTATGGCTAATCTCATAACTCATAACTAAAAATAGTACTGAGACATCAGGAAATGAAGTGAAGGAAAGGGAACATGCTAAGGCTGCATTCACTGCATAAATGGGTCCAATAAACAACTGGAATTGTAAGAGTTCCTGTGCTACACTGAATCCATATTCCTCTAGCATCATAAAACAAATACAGACAAAAAAAAACAAAACAAAAAACCCTGCACTTTCCTGGAAGTTTTTTATGTATGGTGAGTACTCAGATACCATTAATTCACCAAATGAGACAATATGCCTGAATAAAACCCCACCCACAATTCTTTCACCAGAAAGGAAATTTTTCCAAATTCAGATTTTCACACTGGTTGCCTTGCCAAGTTTATATTAAAAATATATAAATTCTCCTAATTGAAGGAGAAGTTGAAGTAATAGCCTTGTACATGTTTTATCAAGCACTGCCAGTTTGAAACATTAAGAATTCTGTTCACTACCTGCACTGTATCACAGCATAAACTAAGAACATACCTGTGTATGTGTATGCACCTGACATGAGGAGCTACACCTGAGAGAGAGGCAGATTTACAGGGTGTGTAAATACACATTAACTGTTAAAAGCTCCTTTCATTGAGATTATCATGCTATACCTGTTATGTAACAATCTATAAAACTTCACTGCAGTACGACAGCAAGTGCTGCTGCTTCCTCAGAGTAGCAGGCCAAGACCTGAATGCCACCCACCACCACTGTGCTTTACAAATCTTACAGTGTCTTGGCCTGTGGCAAATACAAATGATCCACAAAACCAGTACTACTGTTCATTTTCTTTTCTAACAGAGAGTTACTAAAGTTCACTCTATTGGATTTCTTAGATATTTGTGTTCTTCAGTGGAAATAAAATGATGGAGAAATCAGATTTTTCATTAGGAGATTAAAAGAATATATTTTTTTTTTCCCAAGATGTATTGGAATAACAGCCTTTTCCACATGCTTAAACAGAATTAAAAAAAAAACTCTTTTAATTTAAGGATGGCCATCTAAACTTACATAAGCTCTCCAGACATTTATGTGAAATACGAGAATGAAAACGCTACAGTCTTCAGAGAATATAGAGAATTATTTTTAATTTATCCTTCCAGGAATACTAGCTACAGAGACTTGATTGCTTAGCAAGCAGTGCAGTTAAGCCATCTGAGGACAGAAGCATGACCTTTATGTGACCAAAATCAGCTAAGCAGTACACCTTTAAGACTGGATTGAAAGCACTCTAGCAAGTATAGAAGCAGAATTTAAATACTGTCCTGCTTATCCATTAGTTTTCAATCCTTCAGAAGTAAAGAAAATAAAATCTTTCATTCTGGAGACCACAGAATTTTTTGTTACTTCTTACTTCTACTGTATCTACCTATCTCAATACTTTCAGTCTCCTGAACAGAAACTGCTAATAGGGCAACCTGGAAAATGCAGTTAAAAAGAGCCTCAGGATATCTCCATTACATTGACCATAATTGCAGGATTCCCTGTTATTTCAGTGTTCCACCCCATCTCCTGTTCTATAGTATTTTTCATTATAACCACCAGCTCAGGAAGAAGAAAACGGTGATATTTGGAACATACTGTGACACAAGGTTAAAATTTTTGTCCAACAGTCCTAATATACATGCAGAAGCAATTTGTGGTGATGGCAAAATTTAGAATCATTCACCATCCACCTTAACAGGGAAGCTGAAAAATACAGGTCTCTTCTGACATGTAAGATGGGCATAAAAACCCACTATGACAGACTGGAATTTTGATGGGGAGGTAGGAGCTCATATGGCCCACATTTCCACTGGGCTGCAAGACTAAAAGTGTTAATTCATTTCAAATGTAACTTACATTTTTCATTTTTTTTTTAATGTGTGATTGAACACAAGAGCATGTTTCCCAGGGAGGTGGTGCAGTCTCCCTCCTTGGGGATATTCAAAATCCCAAGAGAGACAGAGTCTTGAACTGTAGCTGACCCCGACTTGAGTGGGGGGGTGGAGTAGATGACCTCTCAAGGCACCAGATGTGCCCATCAACCTCAGCTATTCTGATTCCCAAACAACTCCGGGTTGAACAGAAGTTTGAATGAATGACCAGGACAATGAAAGTCCTTGGTGCTGCAATAATCATCTGTTTTATGGCACTCGGGTGCAGAGGTAAATGGTTATTACAATGCACTTAAGAGCTGGATCCATTTCAGAAGCTGAGGAAGTAATTCTTATCTGGGTTTTTTTTTTTTTTTTTGTTAAACCTTTTCAGAAGGAAAGGAAACCATGCAAGTTTATTATTTATTTTGTTACTTCCTTTGCAGTAGTCTATATTTCTTTGGATGAACTTTTTCCTAGACAACTTAAACTTTAAAAAATTTGTTGTACAGAATAGGAATTTTTACAGAATAAAAGCCATTGATATGGACTACTGTTTTGATTTAAATCTACTACTTTTATAGCTTAAGCAGTACGTAACAGTGCTGACACAGCTATGTTCAGATCAAACTGAGATAGACGTCACCAGGGCGATCCACGTGCCGTACCAGGAATCCAGACGTCTTTCCTGCTGGAGCTCTGCAGAGCTCTTAGTGCTCTTTTTAGGAGAGGTGAGTAAGGACCAGGTCAGTTCCAGGGCACCCTCATTTTATATTATTTAGTTCTCATTAAACCTCCAAGAGCAGCAGTGTTCCAAAAAGCTTATTGGAATATATCAGCAGTGGATAAAAGAAATTATGTGATAGTGGAAAAAGTGCTCATAATCTCTTAGAAAAGTCCCACGGTTCTCCACAAAACTTACTTAATTGCTTTGTCATTTGTGCTTGTTAGTGTTTCTGGAA